TGTTGCCCAGTTTTTGCCAATCATTGCTATCCATCTACTAAAGTGTTATTAAAAAGTTTTATGTTAAAAAAAGTTAATAATCAATTTCTTAATGAAGTAAAAAGTAATTCCTTCTAATATTTTTGTTTAAATAAGAAAAAAATTTGCAAAAGTAATTAAATTGCAAAAATTATGCAGCCATTTGCAATGTTTTAATTTTGGTGGCTTCGTTTGTGGGAGTTGTTGTTGTTATTCTTCTAGTTGTTTTCTTGTTGCATTTTCTTTGTTATGGTTGTTGTTGTAGGTTGTTTTTATTATTAGCTGTTTTTATTTTGTTTTGGGGGTGTTTGTGTATAAAAATGCAAAATCTCTCAAATGAATTGATTATCAACAAAGACAACAACAATCTTCAGTAAACAATGATACTGCAAAAATAATGTTGTTGAGGGAGAAAATAAAAAAGAAGTGTGTTTTTAGTGAAGTTATTAGAAATGTTAATAAATTAATTAAACAAATAATTATTCAAATTATTTCGTTGGTTTGCTACTACAGTCTAGTCTATAGTCTAGTCTACTGTCTAGTCTATAGTCTAGTCTATAGTCTAGTCTATAGTCTAGTCTATAGTCTAGTCTAGTCTATAGTCTAGTCTAGTCTATAGTCTAGTCTATAGTCTAGTCTATAGTCTAGTCTATAGTCTAGTCTATAGTCTAGTCTATAGTCTAGTCTATAGTCTAGTCTATAGTCTAGTCTATAGTCTAGTCTATAGTCTAGTCTATAGTCTAGTCTATAGTCTAGTCTATAGTCTAGTCTATAGTCTAGTCTATAGTCTAGTCTATAGTCTAGTCTATAGTCTAGTCTATAGTCTAGTCTATAGTCTAGTCTATAGTCTAGTCTATAGTCTAGTCTATAGTCTAGTCTATAGTCTAGTCTATAGTCTAGTCTATAGTCTAGTCTATAGTCTAGTCTATAGTCTAGTCTATAGTCTAGTCTATAGTCTAGTCTATAGTCTAGTCTATAGTCTAGTCTATAGTCTAGTCTATAGTCTAGTCTATAGTCTAGTCTATAGTCTAGTCTATAGTCTAGTCTATAGTCTAGTCTATAGTCTAGTCTATAGTCTAGTCTATAGTCTAGTCTATAGTCTAGTCTATAGTCTAGTCTATAGTCTAGTCTATAGTCTAGTCTATAGTCTAGTCTATAGTCTAGTCTATAGTCTAGTCTATAGTCTAGTCTATAGTCTAGTCTATAGTCTAGTCTATAGTCTAGTCTATAGTCTAGTCCATATTCTGGTCTATAGTCTAGTCTATAGTCTAGTCTAGTCTAGTCTTTAGTCTAGTCTTTAGTCTAGTCTAGTCTATAGTCTAGTTTATACTCTAGTCTATAGTCTAGTCTATAGTCTAGTCTATTGTCTAGTCTATAGTCTAGTCTATAGTCTAGTCTATAGTCTAGTCTATAGTCTAGTCTATAGTCTAGTCTATAGTCTAGTCTATAGTATAGTCTAGTCTAGTCTATAGTCTAGTCTATAGTCTAGTCTATAGTCTAGTCTATAGTCTAGTCTATAGTCTAGTCTATAGTCTAGTCTATAGTCTAGTCTATAGTCTAGTCTATAGTCTAGTCTATAGTCTAGTCTATAGTCTAGTCTATAGTCTAGTCCTAGTCTATTAGTCTAGTCTATAGTCTAGTCTATAGTCTAGTCTATAGTCTAGTCTATAGTCTATCTATAGTCTGCTATAGTCTAGTCTATAGTCTAGTCTATAGTCTAGTCTAAGTCTAGTCTATAGTCTAGTCTATGTCTAGTCTATAGTCTAGTCTATAGTCTAGTCTATAGTCTAGTCTATAGTCTAGTCTATAGTCTAGTCTATAGTCTAGTCTATAGTCTAGTCTATAGTCTAGTCCATATTCTGGTCTATAGTCTAGTCTATAGTCTAGTCTAGTCTAGTCTTTAGTCTAGTCTTTAGTCTAGTCTAGTCTATAGTCTAGTTTATACTCTAGTCTATAGTCTAGTCTATAGTCTAGTCTATTGTCTAGTCTATAGTCTAGTCTATAGTCTAGTCTATAGTCTAGTCTATAGTCTAGTCTATAGTCTAGTCTATAGTCTATTCTATAGTCTAGTCTATAGTCTAGTCTATAGTCTAGTCTATAGTCTAGTCTATAGTCTAGTCTATAGTCTAGTCTATAGTCTAGTCTATAGTCTAGTCTATAGTCTAGTCTATAGTCTAGTCTATAGTCTAGTCTATAGTCTAGTCTATAGTCTAGTCTATAGTCTAGTCTATAGTCTAGTCTATAGTCTAGTCTATAGTCTAGTCTATAGTCTAGTCTATAGTCTAGTCTATAGTCTAGTCTATAGTCTAGTCTATAGTCTAGTCTATAGTCTAGTCTATAGTCTAGTCTATAGTCTAGTCTATAGTCTAGTCTATAGTCTAGTCTATAGTCTAGTCTATAGTCTCTAGTCTATAGTCTAGTCTATAGTCTAGTCTATAGTCTAGTCTATAGTCTAGTCTATAGTCTAGTCTATAGTCTAGTCTATAGTCTAGTCTATAGTCTAGTCTATAGTCTAGTCTATAGTCTAGTCTATAGTCTAGTCTATAGTCTAGTCTATAGTCTAGTCTATAGTCTAGTCTATAGTCTAGTCTATAGTCTAGTCTATAGTCTAGTCTATAGTCTAGTCTATAGTCTAGTCTATAGTCTAGTCTATAGTCTAGTCTATAGTCTAGTCTATAGTCTAGTCTATAGTCTAGTCTATAGTCTAGTCTATAGTCTAGTCTATAGTCTAGTCTATAGTCTAGTCTATAGTCTAGTCTATAGTCTAGTCTATAGTCTAGTCTATAGTCTAGTCTATAGTCTAGTCTATAGTCTAGTCTATAGTCTAGTCTATAGTCTAGTCTATAGTCTAGTTTCTAGTCTATAGTCTAGTTTCTAGTCTATATAAAAAAGCAGGTCGTAAAAGTTAATTAATTAAATATTGAAAAACACGGTTTCGTCCAAAAAAAGTGTTTAAATTGTTAATTAATGTGTTTAAATTTTATAATGTAAAGTTATTTAAATAAAATCTCTAATAATAAAACCAAAGAAAGTGTTTAAAAATGCAGCGTCCGTAAGAGGCCCAATTTTTTGCAATTCATTGTTAGTCTATCTACTAAAGTGTTATTTAAAAGTCGTGTGTTAAAAAGGGTTAATAATCAGTTGTTTAATGAAGTAAAAAGTAATTCCTTCAATAGTTTTGTTTAAATTAGAAAACAATTGGCAAAAGTTTTTAAATTGCAAAAATTATGCAGCCATTTGCAATGTTTTTATTTTGGTGGCTTCGTTTGTGGGTGTTGTTGTTGTTATTCTTCTAGTTGTTTACTTGTTGAATTTTCTTTGTTATAGTTGTTGTGTTAGCTGTTTTTGTTTTGTTTGGGGGGTTTGTGAGTAAAATGCAAATTCTCTCAAATAAATTGAGCACCAAATATAACAACAACAACTTGAATAAACAATGATGCGCAACATGATTAACACAATAAAGCGGCTGCTAAAATAATGTTGCTGTGGTAGAAAATGATAAAGAAGTGTGTTTTTAAATGAAATAATTCAAAAATAATAAATAATTAAAAAAAATATTTGTAGTGAAGATGGAATACAGATATGTGTTTTATTGAAATAATAAAAAAAAATATTAATTAAAAAAAAATAATAATTATAGTGAAAACAAGAAGAGTTCGTTGGTTGCTGCAAATAAAGGTAAATTTGTTTTAATATCTAAGATGTTTTTGTTAAATGAAGCTAATTTTTCGTAGAGGTTATTTCGTAAGCTGAAAATAAAATTGTCACATCTTGTTAAAAAGGCTAGATTAGAAATATTTAAATAAAGAAACATAGATAGATAGATAGATAGATAGATAGCTAGATAGATAGATAGATAGATAGATAGATAGATAGATAGATAGATAGATAGATATAGCTAGATAGATAGCTCGATCGCTAGATGATAGATAGCTATAGCTAGCTCGATCGCTCGCTCGCTCGCTAGCTCGCTCGCTCTCCTCGCTCTCGCTCGCTCGCTCGCTCGCTCGCTCGCTCTCTCGCTCGCTCGCTCGCTCGCTCGCTCGCTCGCTCGCTCGCTCGCTCGCTCGCTCGCTCGCTCGCTCGCTGCTCGGCTCGCTCGCTCGCTCGCTCGCTCGCTCGCTCGCTCGCTCGCTCGCTCTCGCTCGCTCGCTCGCTCGCTCGCTCGCTCGCTCGCTCGCTCGCTCGCTCGCTCGCTCGCTCGCTCGCTCGCTCGCTCGCTCGCTCGCTCGCTCGCTCGCTCGCTCGCTCGCTCGCTCGCTCGCTCGCTCTCTCCTCGCTCGCTCGCTCGCTCGCTCGCTCGCTCCTCGCTCGCTCGCTCGCTCGCTCCTCGCTCGCTCGCTCGCTCGCTCGCTCGCTCGCTCGCTCGCTCGCTCGCTCGCTCGCTCGCTCGCTCGCTCTCGCTCGCTCGCTCGCTCGCTCGCTCGCTCGCTCGCTCGCTCGCTCGCTCGCTCGCTCGCTCGCTCGCTCGCTCTCGCTCGCTCGCTCGCTCGCCTCGCTCGCTCGCTCGCCTCGCTCGCTCGCTCCTCGCTCGCTCGCTCGCTGCTCGCTCGCTCGCTCGCTCGCTCGCTCGCTCGCTCGCTCGCTCGCTCGCTCGCTCGCTCGCTCGCTCGCTCGCTCTCTCGCTCGCTCGCTCGCTCGCTCGCTCGCTCCTCGCTCGCTCGCTCGCTCGCTCGCTCGCTCTCGCTCGCTCGCTCGCTCGCTCGCTGCTCGCTCGCTCGCTCGCTCGCTCTCTCGCTCGCTCGCTCGCTCGCTCGCTCCTCGCTCGCTAGCTCCTCGTCGCCTCGTGCGTCTTCGCGTCTTGCTCCCTCTTCCCCTGCCTTTTCCTCCTGTCTTTCCTTTCCCTTCTTCTTCCTTGTTTCTTCGTCGTCTCCTCCCTTTTCTAAATTACAATTTACTTTTATTTCCGAAATGGATTTATTTCAATGTGCAATTAACGCTATATAATTTAATAATGAAAACTTAATTCTAATCTTTGGTGATCAAGAGTAATTTTACATATACAAATATCAACTCGGTCCTAATATGATTGCCGTAGTCGTTAAATCACTACAACCAGTGTGCGGTACAAAGACGGCTTACAATTTGAATGTATGGAAAATTTATTTAGAAATTGTAATTTTTGTGTAGTTATTGCTGTCAACCCCTGGTGGCGATCACTGTTTTTAACAACTACGATAAATAATAGGGCCGAATATTATAACTAGTTCTAATGCTAAATTTACAAAACGACTAGATAAGATTTGAAATAAATTTTTACAAAATTTCCCTTTTAGAAGGTACAACCTTCTATAGAAAAAGAATATTTAAGCATTTAAACTTACAGCGGAAAAATAACTTATTATATAGAACTATAAAAGAAATGACTAGTTAAAAATAATTTAAAAATTTACGAACTAGGTGGAACCATTATGATTAAAGGAGGTGGTGGTTGTTGTTGTTGTTGCTGAGATTGCTGATCTTTGGGTCAAGCAACAATATCATGGGCTGGATTATAAGTGAAATAATTTAAATTGAATTCATCATTAAATAAAACAACATCCGATTCTTCAGACACTGAAGTGGAAGGTTCACTATTGGAAGCATGATGAGAATGGTGATGAGAATGATGTTGATGATGGTGGTGATGTTGCTGATGATTCGATATTTGTATGCCCAATTCCATAGGATCGATTTCGGTAACATAATAGGGAGCCGAAGAGGAATGATTGCTATGGCAGTGTGAGGATATAGAAGAATGAGAAGAATGTCTTAGACCGCTTTCATTGACTACAACATCTTTGTGTATGGGATTGAGATAATCTAAAAATAATAATATTGATAAACTTTTAAGATATTTCTGGAAAACTGTATTCTTTTTAACAATAATACTAACCATTATCCAGTAGTACATCTTGATAAGTGCCAATTATGGTTTGATTCACAGATTGCACTTCCACCTCTCTATGTATACCATTTAAAATTTGTCCCGCCGTTTTTCTTAATTCCTCATCCGTTAAGAGATCATTGTAGGGCAATTCATGCATAACATGTCCCCCAGCTGAATCCATATCATGTAGAGAATTTTGATTTTGTATAGATGCATCATTGTTGTTATTATGAGTTGGAGTTTGTTGCAACATTTCCTGTTGTATAGCGGCAGCAGCCACAGCAGCTTCATCATATAAACATTGATCCTGTTGGCAGCCCACATGCTTATGTTGTCCACCTCCGCCACCGTTTTGCAGTAAACGTTCCTGTTGCTGTTTCTGATGATGCTGTTGCAAGCGTTCACGATTCATTGATTCCATTTTAAAGAATAAATCTAAACGTTGTTTTTTCTGTAAAAGGGACAGATTTTAAAGGTTATTTTGGTGTTTGTTTTATAGAGTTATTTAGTGTAACTTACATGCTCCCAGGCTAAAACATTTTCCGCCGAATCTCCACTTGATATTGTCCACAGATGACCCGCACCTTGTGGCGCTTTATGACCCTTGCGAAAATGTGGATTAATGGAAAGATTATGTCTTACAGAGTTCTTCCAGCGATCATCGTTTGATTTGTAATAGGGAAAGCGATCACTGCAATGTAAGAAGAAGACAGGAGGATCATAAATTACGATTAAATAATGGAATAAAATTAAGGAAAGATAATAAGCTGGGAGTGGTTAAGAACAAAGATATTCCGATGCTAGACATAACTATATCTTTAGAGGATGTTTTAAAAAATTTTCAGAATTGGATAGTATCAGAAGATCAGTCCTTTTCAAACCAACGTTATATGATTCAAAATACTCTGGCGATCTCCAAATTCGAAGATTCGGAAAAATTCTCAAACTGTTGAGGACATTACTATGGAACCGTTTAGGACAGAATACTTTTCAATGTTGAATTCACAAGTTCCCTGGTTGAATCGTTTGAGGATAGCTGTCATTTATTAAAGCGGAGATTTGCCTAGGTGAAACCTGGGTAACTGGGCTAGTAAACTTGATGAATATAAGAAAATCATTCGAAAGTCCGCACAAGACTCCTGGAAACTTCTCTATGAACATATAAATATGAACTACTTTCTATCAAAATATATAGTCTATGAAATGCGTAGGAGATTGGATAAGACCAATGTTCGGGTCATTATTTCAGTGTCGAAATAGAGAGAAATATAGACGCCCACGTAGAAGCATTCATAAGTGCAGTGGTATAATTGTTAGAGGAAGAATGTCCTCTACAAAGTAAGATATATTCTGGGTAAGAGAGGATATCCGAAATCTTGGTAAGAATTTTCACTCTTTAAATGGACACGACGTAGAAAGACTGGAATAAGTATCGGTGAAGAATATAGAAAAAATTTTCATAGTTCAAATGAGACCCAGTGGAAACATTTCTGTAAAAGGTAGATATTGTACATCACATATAAAACTCAAATGTCCAATGTTCGGAACATCACTAAGGGATCGTTTATTAAAAGACACCTTACAGTGTCGAAATAGAGAGGAATATATACGCCCCTATAGAAGCCCTGGTTTAATAGTTCGAGGATAGCCGGAAAGCGTAGAAAGTCTGGGCAACAGAAGATATCCGGAATCTTGCGACGACTTCTCGCAGACTCTTTCAAATAACAAAATGGTCAATGACTGAAGATCGGAGCTGATAATAAAGTTCTTAATACCTAAAGAAATCGCATTTACTGAAGTTGTCCACTATATAAGTGTGTCCTTCCCTAACACTTGCGGTATGCATCGACATCAAAGGCGCATTAAATAACGTAGACACTAATACTTTTATTCCAGTTTCATGTTGACAGAATGTCTGTCTCTTTGACGGGTTTGTCAACCGGAATTGGTGTAATGAGAACTTGGATAATATCATAATACAATAATACCCTGGATAATATGAAGTAATATTTGACAACGAACTTGCAAAATGGTTTGAGTTCTGTTCTGCATATAATGCTAAAGTTGCAAAAGTTGTAAATTGTCCTTTAGAAATCCCATTTATATAAATCACCCCAAAAAAGTCATAAAAGTATCCTTTACGTAAAGCCCGATATGTATGTACATACTAATATGTACAATGTCCTTATTTTCCATTGGCTATTGTATTTAATTACTCATATATCATACAAACATACCTTACCACAAAATTCAAATTTATATACGTCTAAATGTATTGTATACTTCCTTGGTAAATATAGCGTTTTCCAAAACATAGCGCACACACACACACAGAGCCCATTAAAACTTTTTGACCAGTAGCAATTAAAACTTTTTCCATACAATTTTATATACTGCTACACGTTTCACATAAATTTCAACGAAAAACTTTTTCTTTCGACTTAAGTTTTTTTATTATTATATTTGCTTAACACACGCCAAGTCCTTTTTGCCACCCAATTTTCCCCTGCTGCCACAAATTACAGGCACACCAGGTTTAAATGGAAAAAGAAAATTTAATATATATACAAAACTAAAACGGAAAGGACATCGCGTGTAATGCGCACGCTCTCCAAAACAAAACAAAAAATTGGAAATAATAGTAATATTTTTTGTACATAAAGTTGAAAATTACTGTACACTCGGTATTTGATATACAAACATATATAGACAAATTTACGATTTCAAACATCGACATACAAGCATGTATCTCAAAAACAACCCTCATATTTCTTCTTATATTTATACCTATTAAAAGCACGCAAAACTTTATGGGGGGTTTTTCCACCACCACCACCACCATTACTTGTAATATAGCCACTGTTTAAAAATCTATAGTTGGATTGGAGGGGGACAGTCAGTATGTCATTGGCTTGTAAATCACCTTTTATATAGCATGAATTAAGACCAACCCCTTCCTCTTGCCTTGCGGCACTATCTAAAAACTGATTTTCTCATTTATATATTTGATTCTTTTTTTTTACTTTTTTTTGGCAATAAACATGAAGTAGCACGCGACCATTTACCAAAAAAAAAAAGAATATTTTTTTTTTTTCAAAATCCGTTTTAGGGTAGGGATTGTAAAGTAGCTGGAGGGGTCATAAAGTATGAGTTTACAATTATAAAAGCCCCCATTTTGTTGCTTAAATAATGACAGAAAATTTAATGGAAATTTTGAAAGGAGTTTTGGAGTTTATAAACTTTTAAATCGATGTAGAATTGGTCAAAAGTTTTTAAATAATAAAATTAATCCAAAAGGATCGATGACAAAATTCATTTAGATATCAATGGGTAATGGAGGACCAACTGAGTGTCATAGGACTCATAGAACCCTTAATTATGTAAGTTGGAACAAAGAGCGAATCTAGTTATGTTTTCATATTACGTTGCAATTGAAAGCAAACATGAATTATGGGATTCTTTCCCTGATCACTGAGAACAATTAGCAAAAAGAGACAGTAAAAAGATAAAGACTGGCAGAGAGACACCCAAAGAATTCAACCTGGTTTCTGAAAATATAATTTTATAAATCCTGACTATAGTGTTCAATCGAAGAAATGGCTGATTATCCTAATAAAACTTAGTTAGCTACGAGGGTTACATCCTGAAATAATCCCCAGTTCATCGAGAAACCTATTTCCTAGTCATTTCAGCCTGAGACCTTATATTCTGGAACTTTGACAGATGATTAGCAAACAACAGAGAGAGAGAGAGAGAGTAAAAAAGATAAACCGTTAGGCCCAAGTAATTCAACCTGGTACCTGAAAATAAATGAATTTAGATCCCGAAAGAAGAATGTTATAAATCTTGACTATAGTCTTCAATCGAAGAATCTGCTAATTATCCTATTAAAACTTAGGTAACTGCGAGGATTACATCTAGAAATAACCCCCAGTTCGAGGAACTTCTTTTCTAGTCATTTCAGTCTGAGACCTTGTATTCTAGGACTATGACAGATGATGTGCTCAACAGTCTCTAGTATCTCAATCTTCGAATAAACTGTAAAATTCCGGTGTGGTTTGTGCTATTACACCATTATAATCGTACAATGATTTGGTACTACGGGTGGCCAGTTGCCCGCAGGAGTTTGTCCTGGTTGAAGTTATTTCGTGATCCACGTGGCTGTGGTTTAAGCCCAAATTCGTGGGAAGAGGCTGAAAACTATTGACCGTGGAAAAGAGGAGCTACCAGTACCTCTAGTCTGCCGGGACTATAAACTGGTAATAATTAAATGTATCCTCGGCATTTCCTTGGAATGATTTGACATGTGGTTGTACCAGAGAACCACATAATTTGGTACTACGGGTGGCCAGTTGCCCGCAGGAGTTTGTCCTGGCTGGACAGTTGTTTGAGGTTGCTTCGGAATCCACGTAGTGGCTGTGGTTTAAATTCAAAATTCGTGGGAAGAGAATGTCGGTTAAAGGACTGATGCACGGTGAAATCTATAATTCGAATTATGTTCGGTGCTGTTCGAAGAAGACAATAGATATTCCATAGAGGAGTGACTGTGGGACTGACTGTTAGAAATGACTTGGTGTTAAGTGTATATGATATCGGATGAATGTAGGGGATCTTGCCCGCCCGTATACCTATAGTGAGTGTGTCGGATGAATGAGAAGTGTGCTGGGTTGAATGGTGGAGGACGACAGGTATATTATATACAAGTGATACCATTGAATCTGTTCATACCGGATTTAGCACAGTGTGTTCTCTGTGAGTAAGAACAAAGTCCTCGGCTTATTTGATGGATTCGTGTTTCAGATTACAGATAAGTCCCATCTGCGTGGTTGTAAACGCAACAGTACAGCAATGGTCAGAGATTAGATAGCTCGAGTACTTGAGCATAGTGGGTGAAAAGCATAACCGTGACATAGGCCACACGGCAGTTGCTCACGTAAAGCACTTCGACATTTTTGGCCGATCAATTTATTATGTTGCATCAGTGGAGAAACACTGGCTATCACTACATATATTAAAAATGAGGGTTCTTCCTCTAAACCCTTAAACATTCAAGCGATCTCTGCATCCATTAACAATCGAATTTTAACTAGTAAAACTTTTAATTTATATTCAGGAAAAAGAAACAAGTAAATTTGAGGAGTGACTAAAATAATGACAAAGTTTGGATGATTTCACCAAGGCGCATGCAAAAGATCTCTTTTTGGGAATCTAAAGGCAAGATGTTAATAAGAAATCATAAATACACATTCACTTCATTGCGAAATATCATTTGATTGTCAAAACTGTGGAAGTTTTGACTCATTTTAGTATGGAAAATACCAACTAACAATACTCCGATCAAACTTGATTCATTCCTCAACTTTAGTTACAATCGACAATAATCGATCCTCAGTTCTTCTGTCTAAAACACAGTTATATTTCGGAGATTGTCCAGTTTAGTTCATAAACTTACAGGTTGTAATACGATATATTGAAACCACTAAACAGTGGGAACCATAACCATCAGATTAAGCGTATTTTAACAGTCGGTTTATATTTATTACCCTCTATGTGCCTTCCTTCATTCATAAAGTTTTAACGCCAAATATTAAAGTTTTCTTCATTTAACATTTGCGTGTATTTAATTATTCATTATACAGAATTACGTATGAATATGAATATATGTAAATAGAAGTATATAAAGGATTTTAG